CATCGAAGGCCATATGGTGGTATACACGTGAGTCATTCGTTCATCGTATTTTGAATAAGGCGCTACGTATTCAAAATGTTGACGTATTGTTTCTTTTTCGCAACGTTATTCGTGACATATATGAGCAACTAGAGGCTCATCAATGTCAGAAACAAATCATAGTTTATCGTGGTCAGATAATATCGAAGAAAGAATTGAAACAATTACGAAAATCAGTCGAGAATATCATCTCGATGAATTCCTTTCTTTCGACTACATTGGATAGACAAGCAGCATTACGATTCCTCAAGTACAATTCGAATTTCACATCGTCGGATGAATCCGTATCTGTGTTATTTGAAATTGATGCTGATCCGCAAATCAATCGAAATTCAAAAGAAAATCGTCGACCATTTGCAGTAGTCAGTGGCATGAGTGATCATAAAGACGAAAGCGAAGTATTGTTCATGCTCAGTTCTACATTTTGTTTGAATGAGATCTGTCATGATGAATCATTAGTTGACGGGACAATATCGATCATTCGAATGACGTTATCCAGTGATGATGACAACGATCTCAAACAACTGTATGATCACATGAAGAACGAATACCACAGGCAGGAAACGAATCTTCTCTCTGTTGGTGATGTAATACAAAGAATGGGAAAATTCGATGTGGCCGAAAAGTACTATCGTCGATTGCTGAGCGAACTTCCATCGAATGATCTCTCACTTGATGCATTGTATAATCGTCTTGTTATGGTTGCTGACGATAAAGGTGAATATGACGCGAGTCTCGAATGGTACCAGAAATCACTCGAGATGAAGATGCGAACTCGTCCATCCGATCATGTGGGGATTGGAAACACACACAACAGCATCGGTAATGTTCATGAAAAGAAAGGTGATCGTAGTCGAGCACTCGAATCGTACAATCGAGCCGTATCACTCTTCAAACAAGCACACGATGAGAATCACCCATATGTGGCTGGAATTTACAACAACATTGGCATCATCTATAAGGAAGAAGAGAAGTATTTGGAAGCGCTTGACTTCTATGAGAAGTCACTTACTATCGATAGGAAGCATCTACCAGCAGATCATCCCGATTTGGGTGCATCGTACAACAATATTGGCATTGTCCATCGAATCATTCTGATATTGCAACGACCTACAAGAACATGGGTATTGTGTATGAAGACAAGGGTGAATTTGAACAAGCATTAGCATTGTTAAAGAAGGCCTCGACAATCTATGAAGCATCATTGCCATCTAATCACCCGAATGTGATTAAGATCATAGATGAGATTCAACAAGTAGAAGATAAATTGAAGAAAAAAGAAGAATATATGAAGTTAAAGACAAAGAAGCAATAATGTTTTGTTATATATAGATAATAAATGATTTTCTAAGAATAAATAAATAAATAAAAGTGTAGATAATCAGCAATCTACTTACTGTGAAGAATATTCGCAAAAAAAGAGTAAAATGTGAAAACATGTAAAGAATCATTACTGTTCTATGAAAAAAAGAAGAAAACAAGCCATTCGATGATGAGAAAAATGAAGATCTGGAGAGGGGGAGGAAGCATACTTTGAGAGAATTAATGGGAGATGGGGAAGAAAATTAAATGATATAAGCTTGCAAAAGCGACAGTGGGGCAAAGAATCTTTAAAAATTCACGATGAAATTATTTCAATATGTGTAATGAGTAATTTCATAGCTCTGCTATCACTTGTTGCATTATACACAAAGTTTTGTCTGACGTTATCAATCGTGAGTTATCCTATGATTCAATGAGCAAGAAACTATCAATTAGTACGTAGTGCTTCCAAAATCCTAGGATTTATTGCAAGATAAGCTTTTCTGTCAATGACATCAGCAAATCTCGAAAAAATATATCTTGAGTTTTTTTCAAGTTATTACTAACAACGTGTTATATTTTTCATCAGAAAAATAAATTATCAATTAAAAAAATAACTAGAAAGCCTAAAAACAATTTGAATGAGTAAACTTATTTATCATGCAAACAATTACAATGAAAGTTAATTTCAAGGTTAACAACAATGATGCACGTGTCAAATATATCTGTGATAGGTCATTTATGAATCTAATTGAAATTAGAAAAAATATTCTTCTTCTACTGCTAGTAATAAAAAGAATACATATGTAATGATTTTGTTAATTAAATCACCTGTAAACATAGAGTCATTTTATAAGCCTGTTTAATTATGTGATGAAGATAGACAAAGATGGTAACATCAGGCATAAGTAATAATTTAATTGTTGTGTTTTTCTTTGGGTTCAATTTAATAATCAACTCAATAATTTATTTTGTTATTTTTATTTTTTTTTATGAAAAACAATATTTTTTGTTGAAATTTCATTTTTAATGGAAGGTACATGTTGACAATGGATGAATGAACAAATCACAATAATTAATTAGTAAACTATTTAATCATTTGCAATCAAAAAAAAACTTTTTTTTGTTTATTATAATTACAACGAAGTGTGTTGCCTTGAGAAAATTGTGAAAGAGCAAATTTTACTTGTATAAAAATGAAGAAGCAATACCAAATAATAGCATATGTATATCACTTGATAAAGATAATTGATGTGTAATAATGATTAAACATTCCCAAAATGATCCGCGTATGTTATGAGTAAAATATTGAATATAGTGTCAGACTTGGCATTATAAATGTTTGCATGCAAAACAAATGGTCTTCGACTAAGACAAGATTACATATTTCTTTCCTTCTTTAGTAAAAGTCAAAGATACTGATGACATTGATATGAAAATCAGTGATCCTATGAGATTCGCACTTGTGTAGATTACATATTTGCAGAGAATGATTATTGCTGAGTAGATATTAGATATGAAACTATCTTTGATATGTACTAGTTTTTATCGAATAAGTAACTTGTCGTATGATTTAAACAGGAAAAAAACGGGAATATAGTTCGAAGAAATCGTCGGTAAACTACTTGATTTCAAATTTCACTCATTGAGAGCAGATCCAAGTCGTGAATTTTGCACTTGTGTCTTCTGAGATGATCAGTTACCTTATTTTTGCAGAAAAAAATAAAACAACTAGCATTTATCTAATTAGCACGATTTGAGAACCACAAATGATGAAAAGTATTTTATTTAGGTTCTGCTAAAATTTAAAAGATGTCACAAAATTTCGCATAAAATTCTGCATCTTACAATGTATATTTAAAAGTTTTCAAATAAACAAACATCATAAAATAAAAAAAGCTTAACTGAAACCTCAATTATTCACTTTGTTTGTTGTTTGAGCACTGGAAATTCACTAGACAACAATAAAGAGTGAGGATGAAGGGATAGAGTAAGATATAAGTTGGAATAAACATTCGCAGAAGAATCAGTACATTGAAAATAAATCAAGTGTTCTATCTAAGAATTAGAATAAAAATAATAAACTTTAAGCTTGCTTACGAAATTCGTTCAACAGTGGTATTATATGTTTTATATTGATTTCAACAGCATTTTGCAGTGCTGTAAACTAAATTAAACAAACAAACATAATTATTAATCCATATGGATTCTTTTTTAGAATTACAGTCCTAAATTATTCTCATTATCCAATACCATTACTTTCAAAATCAACCTATCATCTCTATTCGAGTAAAAAGCTATGTGTACAGTGCAATAATAATTGGAAGAAAATTCTAAAAAAAATAAACTGATATTCTTCGTCATCGACGAGTTCTATAACTTTCATTCAAATGTTGTTATTTTTATCGAGTTTCGTCCGTTATTTGAAGGTTTTGCGCACTGAGGTTTTTCAAGACTAGTAAAAGAGCTCGTCAACTTTACAGAATAAATCGATTGACATGAACCAATTTGCAATTACTTTTGTTGCTTGATGAATAGTAAGATTCTTATTTTGATGACAATTAGCTGTTTGATTCTTCTTGTTTTATTGCTAAATCCACTTTGAATATTTATAGTTCAAGCTTTCATTGTAAATACACATTAGATTTTGTCAGTGTGTCTTTTCAGCAGTTGACACTAAAGGACTTTAGAATTTCAATTGCTATAGATAAAACTATGAATCACGAGATTTCGATCTTGTATAATGGAAAATTTTGAATGCATATTCAGTTAGAGACTGTTGTGGGCTTTGCTTTCAAAAAATACTTTTCCAACGTTAAATTGTTCTGGAGAAAATTATAATAAAATAATGTCAGAACAGCTTGAACATACGTAAAAACATTGATTTTTAGGAAGTATGTTGTGTATTGTATGAGATCTAAGTAAAATATTAGTTGAAGCTCAAGTTACTCTCCTTCAAAACTATTTGAAACGAAATAACAGAAATATAAGACTCAACAAGGAATCCAGAAAAGCAATACATTACAGATGCAAACGTTCCATACGATTCTCTATTATACTTGTCGACTACAATTGTTTGGATTGATGATTTAATAGTTAAAAGCTACGTTTATCGATCAGACTTTTTTACGTGAACATATAGAAGTTTTCCTGTTCGAAAAATTTGTTTTCTGACTGAATATCTGATCAACATACTATATTGTTTAAACAGTAAAGAGAAACGACAGCATATTCCTTCTTTCATAAATGTCAAATTTAAAGCAAAAGTTTTGAACATCTTTTCACTGTTATTTTGCAATATATATGGTTGACTATCATAATATGTTAAATTCTTTTTGAAGAAATTCTCTAGAAGCTGTTTTCATCTATTCGAACTAAGATATTATTAGGAAATGATTGATCACTACAATCCAATTATTAATTGTTGATATATTTACTTTGTTCACAAAGTTGGAAGATGTTGCAACAAATGTTTCACCAGTTTTGACAGCAGCAGCATGTAAGAGTTGAAATAATTCATAGACTTTTTTCATTGATTGTATTGTTTTATGACGATTATTTGATTTAACATTAGTAGAATTATTATTTATGACTGTTTTTTTATATAATTCGTCAATTGCATTTGTATTATTTGCAACAAATACATGGTACTGTCCATTACACGTTGGATTAATAATAATTAAACGACTTTGATCTGGATTTTTAATTATTTTTTTTAATGTAGCTTCACCAGTAACATTGATTACTGAATTATTTAATCGTCTTGGTATATAAACTATTGTTTCATTATTTAATAGTAATGATGTGCTATTAATACAATTGACAGTCATTATAAATGATGATGTCGTTGTATTGTAAAAATATTGCTTTAATTGTCCAATGACACCACGTGGATATACACGAGATAATATTCGAACACGATTTGGACGTTCAGGACCGTTTTGATTTGCAACTGTACTATTTAGTGTACCTGAATCGTATAAACTCCAACTTGTTTCACAACCTTCTTGAAAACAATTGTTTTTCCATGGCCATATGGTTGCTGATATCATTGCTTTATCTTGGGAATCTATCGTTGGAACTAATAATCTTTCATCTGCGTCTGCACCACAACCAAATTCTGTAACTAAAACTGCACTTTGTAAACCAACAGATTCATTTAATGCTGTCTCATATGCATAACTAGAACAAAAGTAGAAATCGCTTTATTTTATGATTCCAGATGTTTTTGAATTGATGACAAATCGAGTAAAAACTTTAAATTCAACATGAACTCACATGGACCTTCTGAACTTCAAGACATTACAAGAATTTCCAATATTTTCCTACAGAAGCAAAATTACTTCGAACAATATTTCATTACTTTATGTGCTTATTTAATGAATCAAATTATGCAGAGTAATTCATAAACAGTTTTATGTTGAAAAATGTGAATGCCTCCATTCTATTTTAATCAAATGGAGTAATTAATTTCTTTTCGGTACTGCAGATGAGTATTATGTTAGAAAAAACATACTCGAATGATGGTGGATATAATGATTGATTCAAATGTAATATACTATCAATTGTGAAGACATGCGTATAAACATGAGGAGCATAGACAATATTTGTATAGGATGAAAATGGTATAGAATGTTGAGGAGTAAAATCCAATAAATTTCGAACTGAAGTTGGTTCAACAAAAAATAAATGTCGTTTATCATTGATTCCTAAATTTGGATAAGAACAATTTGTTCCCGTTGGAGCATGTTTTGGACAATCAGGTAAATTATCACGAACACCAGTTATAGCTTGTATAACACGCTTATAAAATGGATATAAATAATTACTTGAGAAAGTATACTGATCAATATATGTGCCAGGTTGTGGTTCATTCATGATCTATTTAAAAGATAACAAATAAATATTGTTATTATAATTTAACTTTAATTCAAGAAAATAATATTAGATCATTATAAGGACTTGCAATAACAACATTCACAATCCCCGTTGACAACTTAAAAGAGAACTCTAGTTATTCTAATGAAAAATACAAGATGAATTCATTCCTTTATGAATGGAGAGAAATAAAAGATATAGGGAGTTACTAGTAAACTATTTTGAACCTTGTTTGTATGACTGTAAGCTGATAAATATTTATAAAGACAATATCTTATTGAATTGTTCAGTCTTGTAAAACATGCGTGAAATACAAACGCGACGAGTTTTAGAGTAAAACGAGTATGTACGATCAAAATTGTAGTGTTCTTAGTGAAAACCCCTGAATGACTTCAATCCGCATATACAAAACCTGTTTCCCATGAGTCACAAATTAGAGCAATGGTTCAATTATTGAAGTATTTGATATTTGTTGATGAACTTATAGACTTCTGATTCGTGTTGAAAAAGATGTTTTGCAATTGTTCTTCACATCGAAACAAGAACGGCTTATTAGGATACGATGAAAGTGTTGGGAATAATATCAATTATGAAGAATTTCCAACATACCTCGTTGGGTTCAAAACTTTTGAGCCCACATCCAAACCGTACTCTTAGCTTTAACGACTTTTTTAGTCTGAGTCCAATAATCACTCTGAAAATGCAATATATTTTTTTTTACCCATTATTTGTATTCTGCTATTAACATACTCTACATATCTGTCGTCGGTCCTTAACCTAGATCGAATGAATACTAGTTGTCAGCACTGCTGTCACAAGAACGAGTCCCATTTTTCGCAAAAATAAAAGCCAGAAGTAACAATTATGCAAATATAGTTTACACACGTATTCGTAGTCTTATGTTTTGCTATTCAATTTTTTGCAATTATTCAAAGTAGACAGACTAATTATTTGTTGTTGATTACTTTAAAATAGTCAAACAGAAGTATGTACAGTGGCGGCGGAGCCATTAGGCTTGGGGAGGCTCATATTTTGAAAAACAAATCACAGATCTTAGCATGGATTTATATTTAATTAGTATGCGAAAATTCTTTGAACAATAGTATGTTCAACCTCATATTAGATAGCATGATAAGTGGCACACCAATTGCGTTTAAGAAAGCTCAAGTCTTAGTGAAAAACCAAGAAGGACATCTGAGAGAGACTCGATATTTAAGAAAACTTTAGGAACGTCATTCCGAATTTGAGGGTGAATGTC